TGACAGCTCTTGACCAGCTCCTTAGGTTGTCCTTCGGTGTACTGCTCTAAAAAGTACAAACAATCTATACTGCTAGCAGCCTTTCCTTCCACTCCATTTTCAAATGCTCTAATGAATGTGCTGTACTCGAGATAGTCTCCATCAAAGGTTGGTAGATCCCTTGGAGGTAATGATAGTGAAGACTGCTGCTGCACTAGTAAAGCAGTTATGTCGTTTTGCCTTTGCATAATAGTGAGAAGATTTTCTTGTTCCACACTGGTTTGCACTAAACCATCACGCTTTATGGACTCCTGCGTGGAAAGAATGGCCGTTTCCTGTGTGTGATGTGATTGGTTTGCTGAGATTGTTGAGGCATGCTTGGTTTGTGATCCAGAGCATGAGCTTTTTTTCCACCTTGTTGTAAACTGGTTTCCTTAGGTCGTGCCCCCATTGACACTGTGGCTTTGCTGCCTCCTTTTGGCAGATGATTGAAATGATGGCTTGAACTTTGTGGAACAAATTCCATAGCAGAGAATCTGAGAGAGAATTTGTATTTTGACCTTTTCAGATATGAATTCATTCCATCAGAACGTGCACTGGAGCTTTGCACATCAGAACCTCTGTACTTAAGCACCGTAACCTTTGCTGTGAGAGCAGCAATTTGACTTTGCAATTCAAGCACCTCCTTCTTTTGTCTAATTTGTTCCTTCTGTACCTCCAGTTCATGCTTTTCTTTTTGGGTAGCTGCCATAGCAAGAGCAGCCCTTTCAGCCTCTGCTTGAGGTATGCAGAGGAGGTTGATGACAGGAAGCTGATGTGCACCTTCAACTTCATCATCATCACCTTTGCATTGCTCCTTAGTGTCAAGCAACCACTCTTTAATCCTTTTAATTATTTCTGCATTGCTGTTCATTTGGGTTTCAAACCATTTATTTAGTTTTGACACTTCCTCCTTTGGTAGGAATGATTTCAGTGATTCATGCAACTCTGTTGTTTCCACAGTTATTTTGTAACGTATCATACGTGATCTGTACCTCCGACACTTCCTTTTTCAGTTTGTAGAGTTTCTTTATCCTAAGGTTCCTTTCCTTTTGATAATATTTTTTCTTCCAAAGCATTAACCGTGAGTTTAACTGGTCTTTTACCAAGTTCATTCTCCGTTTCACTTTGATTGACAGGTGCAATCAAATCCACGTTACTCATTTTGGTGATGATTTAGACAAGCTGCCGATTTCTTTATTTTAGAATTGAAGCAGGATTTACCTGTATCCTAATTGTGAGAAGTCCAATCTCTTCCACACAGTTTAAAACAATTACAAAACAATCGTTATTCTTCGGTGTTGCTTTAGCCCACTTTAATTTATCAGCGTCCAGTTTCTCCTGTCGGCATTCACTGAGTGGAATCAGCTGGAGCGCTGTGCTTCTGCCTTCCCAACATCGGCATGATCCGTCCATTGAAGCGGAGTTTTTCAACTTATGTAGTGGCGATCATACCACAAAGAAAGCCACTTGAGGGAATTTGAAGTCGTCTCCAAAGTGCAATGGTGCAAAAACACTTTATTTTATGCAGAATAAAAGTACTTACAAAACACTGCTGCTTGCATTACAGATGTAAATTGAGCTCGTACGTATGCAAAAAACAGTAAACACGATGCTAACGGTAGGACATGATAAAATCCATCACGAACATACACACATGTACACAAGCACGGTTGAAAAACACATGGGACTGCACTGTATTAAGGATGACCGGGGCCATATATTGCGAGATTTTGGGGAACAACCTCCTTCCCTCAGTTAGAGCATTGAAGATGGGTCGAGGCTGGGTCTTCCAACATAATGACCCGAAGCACACAGCCAGGATAACCAAGGAGTGGCTCTGTAAGAAGCATATCAAGGTTCTGGCGTGGCCTAGCCAGTCTCCAGACCTAAACCCAATAGAGAATCTTTGGAGGGAGCTCAAACTCCGTGTTTCTCAGCGACAGCCCAGAAACCTGACTGATCTAGAGAAGATCTGTGTGGAGGAGTGGGCCAAAATCCCTCCTGCAGTGTGTGCAAACCTGGTGAAAAACTACAGGAAACATTTGACCTCTGTAATTGCAAACAAAGGCTACTGTACCAAATATTAACATTGATTTTCTCAGGTGTTTAAATACTTATTTGCAGCTGTATCATACAAATAAATAGTTAAAAAATCATACATTGTGATTTCTGGATTTTTATTTTTAGATTATGTCTCTCACAGTGGACATGCCCCTACGATGACAATTTCAGACTCCTCCATGATTTCTAAGTGGGAGAACTTGTTATTTTCCCCAATGTATATAGCAATTGTAAGTTGCTTTGGATAAAAGCGTCATAAATGTAATGATAATACATAATCATTTTGTCATAATTATAAAGCTGTGGTCTGTAAAAAAAAAATGTGTTTCAATTATATGTAAAGGCATCTGCTTGTATTCTCACATTGTCTAATATATTTCCACAGAACCTTTTACGGGTCTCTGCCACTGAGAAGAAAACATGCTGCAGGTGGGTGGATGCCTTCTGGGCTCCTAGACTTGATATAACATGCCTGACACTGTTCTTGTGTCTTTTGGTTTTTGCATACCAGAGGGGAGAAGCTGGAACAGAAGTATAAATTACACTAAATGTTCCTCAGGTGGGCCAACGCCAGTCATCCAGAGGCTGCCATCCTCCGCGGTGCCAATACAGAAATCATTTGTTGCTTTCCTAGAGATGAAGTGACCAGAGAACAGGGAGAGTGAGGCCCAAGTGAGACACAGGGAATATCAGAGACAGCTCCCAAGTGTAACGTTAACTGAATACATTGGTGCTGTGGCTGGCTACATTAACTAGCAGCTATTTCGTGGTTTTTATGGTATGTGATCGGTTTTGTTCTAGTTATATTATGCTCCATCTCTGTGACTGTGCACCCGAGTCTTCATAATCTCCCCTACCCAGTCTATTCTCCTTCTGCTGTCACTGCCAATACCCTCTTTCAGCCACACCAATTTGTGTATTCTGTTTCTAGAAGTCATTAGAAATGAGCATTTAAGTGCTTTAATTTTTTTTAAAAGAATGGAGCCGCATGCCCCCAAACCCCCCTAGCATTTCAGTGTCCTCCGCAGCTCCAAAGTCGCTTTATGCCCTTATGGTACATTGCTCTGGGAAGGGTTGCTTGGGGATGGGGCTGGGAGGGAAAAATCCCAGTAGCCTACACACTTGAGGAACAGAAATAATAATAAATAGTAGATCCGTTTCAAACCTGGCAACAGGGTTGCTTGGGGATGGGGCTGGGAGGGAAAAATCACAGTACTTACTACCAAATACTAGACTACATCACAGGTCAAAATTTACTAGACAGCCTCTACTTAGCTTGAGAGAAAAAAAATTACTTTAACCATTTTAGAAAAAATTACACAAAGGAGTATTAAATTGTCTTAAAGTAACATAATAACCATTTTGTCATAATTATAAAGCTGTGTAAAAAGTCTGTATAAAAATTAATTTCAATCAGATGTAAAGGTATATGGCAGACCACAGCTTTATAATAATAATGCTTGGCATTCAAGAGACCAGGAACAGACAAGAATTGGAAGAAATAATGACCATTGGCGAGAAATTGAGTGTGGTGTGAGAACCAGTGGAGAAATGGGCAGGCCTCTTGGCGAGTACTCACCTAACAATAGCTAATGTTATATTTACATCACAATATTGTTTGCTATCACATTATCAGGCTATAACAAAACTAGTGATGGTCATCTAATACTGGCAAGAGTATAGATTCTTAACCAAAAACTAATGTGCAATCATCAGCTTGTATTATTCTCACATTGCCTAATATACTTCCACAGAACCCTTTACGGGTCTCTGCCTCCGGGAAAAGAACATGTTGCAGGTGGGTGGATGCCTTCTGGGCTCCTAGACTTGATATAACATGCCTGACACCCTTTGTGCTACAGATAACCTGTTTAGGTCAGAAAAAACCTGGTAAGAGCCTTATCTGGTCCTGCGTTTCCAGATCTCCAGGTCTTGTGAAAAAATCTAGTTTTAAAACCTTCAGCAAAAATGGGGCCTGGTTGATATCCAGATAGAGAGCAGGACAAATGGGAGACATTAACAGGGGCCCGCAGCTTTTTTGCCCTGGGATCTCTTAACAGGTTTATCCAGCCCATATGCTATGACTTAATTGCTAAACATCTGAAACATCAGAACAACATCAAACATTCACATTCCTCTCTGCTTATTGATGCACCTAGCAGACCCTCAACCTGTCTTAAACACTTTGTATAAATAATATTAATTCTGTCTGAATAACTGGAAGAACAAAGGGACCTTCATCATGGCTGCCTGCTGGGGCAGATGTGAGATGCTTCCAGTTGATCTAAGTAATATTTACCCTTCAGGGACACAAACCGTCTGAACATGTATGACACGCAGATAGCAGCTCTGGGCCTGTTGAACTGATGTTAAGGACCAGTCAAGAAATAACACAATTGTAGGTATTCATGTTTTTTTGTCCTCTTAAAATCTGCTCAACGCTGTAATCCAATTAATTTCAGATGGGGCTTGATCCTGCAGAACAGTGGCATCTTGCTGTATTTTACTTAGGTTATGAATGTTGTTTTTGAAATGATTAAGTGTTACATGTCTTTTATGGGCTACATTTTGTGTTTTCTGTGTAAATAACAAATTGACAGCATTGTTATTTTGTATAATGTAACCTCCTAGTTGTAGGTGGGGCTCTCATGTTTTCTGTAGCCTTTTTTGCCCAATGAAAAATGCTGTAATAAATAAATAAATTAATAAATTAATAAATTAATAAATTAATAAATTAATAAATTAATAAATTAATAAATTAATAAATTAATAAAGACTTGGGTGAATATACTGTGCATGCTAAAATGCTAAATATGAGGAATTAAAATAATGTGTTACCAATTCCATTTTATACTTGAAATGTGATCACGGTACTTACTTTATTTTGAAGCTTACCGGATGTTTCATTGTTGCTGTAGCTGTGGATTCTTGCTGCAGGAGCACATAGGGGAGGAACTGTATGGGTGTGGTTACGACTATACAACCCTCAATAACTTGAAACATTCCCCAGCAGTGTGATCAAACAGCGGCAGAATGAACAGCGCAGGTAGGAACTGAAACACACGACAGGACAAAACATTACACGGGTCACCAAACTGGCTAAAATAACAAGCCGCGTCCTGCAATCAAAAGTGGGGTTCGCATTCTTCAACACAGTTCAAATCTGAAAGCAAGGGCGCAGGGTCGTTTTAAAATTGGAGGGGAGACGTGAAACGGGTGGTTTTCTTCCAGAAAAGTATGAGCGTTAAGTAGGCCTACTAAATTTCCTGCATTGTGGTACTTTTTGTACGCCAATTTCTGGTTTTTCTGCATTAATTTATGGTGGAAATGTCTTTATTTATGTAAAGGTTAAAACAAAATTCAGGTGACGATTCGAAATGTAAAAATGAAATGGAATATAGCGTACTAAGGCTCTCTCTGGCTCTTTCACAATCTCAGACCGTCTGAGGAGCCTTTTAGGAGTGTATGAGACAAGGAACTGCAAAACTGAAACAAACTGAAAAACCTTCTGATCGGCATAAATCTCTCTTTTTTACAAGTTTAAATACCTGTAGACTGTAGAAATATTAACGCAACTTATTCTATTAGCCTATTACTTTATTGTCGTACCCTATTTTACAACCTTTTTCTCACAATAGTATGACTTGTATCTGGAAATTTCAGTTTCAGTTTTTTTTTTTTTTTCTTTTACTAAATGGGTTCTCCTACTCAGTCATAGTTGACAGACTACAATTCTACCTTTTGTTTTTTGTTCTTGCTAACTTGCTTTGTGTAGGAAACATTGTTTAATAAAGTGTGGGAAAACTTGCCAAAGTGTCCCTTAACATCCCCCAAAGGAGCATGGGAGGCTGTTTTCCCCGGACTGTTACCATGATTATTTATCTCTAATAATAAATAAAAGTAGGCCTAAGTTTTAATAAACTAAACTAATTTAAATTAAATACCAACACCCATTAAAAATTTGGCGCAAATACAATCCAAAACACCATTCAGTCAAGATTTTTCATTAAAACTTAGTTAGAGTCATGAGTTGTTGTTGTTGTCTTTTAAAAGAGATTCATTGATCACTAATGTGATATTTGTACAGATCCATTACATTTATCAAAGACCATGTGGTGTCACCAGATTGATTAGGCTGAATCTTCCCCTGGACTGTCTCCCTACAGTGACTGACTGTGCAAAGTAGATCTGTATTCAAATAGACAAAAAATAAAGAGGAATAATATGAAGAACAAATTTTAGGTTAATTTTACACAAAAGAAAGTAAGAACCACAAAGAGAAAAAGTTACAATGCAGTAGGCTAAGCATGAACATGGGATTAAAAGTGGAACATGAGAGAACTAATATGGAGCAAAATGTTGACACTGAAATTAATAAATGTAGTGATTTCTCCAATTTTTCCATTTTCTTATGAAATCCTTTTCTACATCCCACTCTGTCCACCTCCTTGTTTCTTTATTTACTTTTCTATTTTCTCCTTTCCATTCCTACCGCCTTGTTACGTTTTTTACCTCTTCCTCTTCTTCTCTATCTTTTTTCCCCCCTCCTCCAATCCTTCTGTCTCCTTTCCCTCCTTACCTCTTCTTCTCTCCTCCTTTTTTTTGCTACCTTAACCTCTGATTCTTTACTCCCTCTTTTCCTTTCCTACCTTCTCTGCTTCTCCATTTTCTCATTTACTTCTTTACCTTCTCCTTTCCTTTCATACCTCTACATTCCTTTCTTAGCTCCTCCTTTACTTCTCTATGTCCTCCTTTACCTTTCCTGCCTCGTCTTCTCCTTCTCTCTCTCCGCCTCTCCTTTACTATCACTTAGTAGCCTGATTTAAACCTCCTAAACTGTCAAACTGTGCACTCAGGGCTCTAGTAAACAAGGAATGAAATGAAAAAGTTGATCATTCTCTGTAGCTTCAATCTTGTCCTGAACTCTGAAGTATCAGCAGAAAAGCTTTCTGATGATCTGAACTGTTTCCTGTTGTTTATTCCAGTTGCATATCCCCCTGTCAACGCTCCTGCGGCCAACATGTTCAGCGCGCCTGGCTATGAAGGCACAGTGGCAGGAGGAGGTAAAAAGAGTCAAACCCACATCTTTTCACTTGACGGTTCAGTGTGTAGGTTTTAGTGGTAAGGGTTGCGAATTCTAACCTACGGCCCAGTCACTACTCACCCCTCCATTTGCAAGTGCGGAGGAAAAACAACAGTGGCCAACACGCTCTGTTGACTCTTGTGCTAAATCATATGTGTGGCCCTCCATTTGTCCAAATTTCACTTCTGTTCTTACTTCTAATAAACCAGGTGACTAATTCTACTACTTCTTGTACTTCTTTTTCTTCTTCTTCTTCTTGGTACGTATTCAACATAGTGAAGAAATGCACTCTATAGAACAGTTTGTCCGTTTGGGCTATGGTAGAAACTTGGCAGCGCAACATGGCTAATTCCATGTAAGGGGTCCCGCGGTGTACAGTATGTAGATAGAAGTGGCTCATTCTAAGGCAATAAAGACATAACTGTTAATCTTTTATCCCACCCGTTTTGTCTTCTCTTTTCCATTCCTATCCCCTTGTTTCCTTTTCTACTCTCCTCTTTTTCTCTTCTGTTTTCTTTCCTTTCTCCTCCTCCCCTTTTCCATCTCCTTTCCTTCTCTACAGCCACCTCTCCTTCTCTTCTCCTTTCTTTTCCTTCCCCTCCACTTCTTTTTTCCTCCTTTCCATTCCTACCTCCTCCTTTCCTTCTCTACTTCCTGCTATACCTTCTTTCCTTTTGTAACATTTCTTTACTTCTCTACCTCCTCCTCTCCTTTACTATCACTCAATAGTCTGATTAGACCTCCTAAACTGTGCACTCAGGGCTCTCGTTAACCAGGAAATGAAAATTATAAAGTTGATCGTTCTCTGTAGCTTTAATCTCACCCTATTAACAGAAAATGATGATGATCTGATGATCTGAACTGTTTCCTGTTGTTTATTTCAGCTGCGTATCCCCCTCTCACCGCTCCTGCGGCTAACATGTTCGGCAACATGCCTGGCTATGAAGGCATTGTGGCAGGAGGAGGTAAGAAGAGTCAAACCCATAACCCTTCACTTAATATTCATGTTGTTGCAAATCCTTGAAGTATCCCGATGTTGTTGCAGGAGGATACCTACCCCCTCCCATGCCAGTGGAGCCTGTGGCCCCACCCCAACCCGGCCCTGCACCTGAGGACTGGAGGTAAGACCTGGGGCGAGTTCAGCATAGCGAAACGTTTATTTCAGTGGAAAAGGTGGCGTCTTGAACACACCGTTATGTACGCAATCGCACTGATTTACAAAATTATTGCAGCTGATTGGGTAACACCTCTGACACACCCACCAAACATGAGAAAACATACCTTGAAGCCCGTTGTGCAACGTTGCAAGTAAACATGTGTCCAAAAATGTTCAATGCTCACATTGCTTTGTGTTTGCTAGATGAGAAAAAGCTGCGTTCAGAGAACATTCTAGTTTAATTCATGATGTAATTTGTGTGTGTAGCATTCCCTCTCTGTTGGAGGATGTGGCTCGTGAGGCGTTCAGGAGCTTTGTGTCATCTCACTGCTGCTACAGTAGTGGTCCTGTCGAAGATGGAGTCATCACCAGCATGGAGCCGTTCAACACCTACAGGGTGATCTAATGTTCACTCTTTATGATACTGTTAACTGCCTGTGTTGTTTTTGTCACTTAAGGATGCTCTAGTCCTGTTCTGTATGGCTGATGCCATCAGCTGATCTAATCATTTATGCTAATTTCTATGCATAGAATACAATTTATCAATTTCCTGTGTGATGAGACACTAAGCTCACAAGATCAAGATGAGAAGATATTTTAACACTATTTTTTTAAAGAAATTTTTGATGCTGAATTATATGAAAGAAAATGAGCATTAACCAGTTAATTTCCTGCATTCTGGTGCATTCTTTTTCTGCACCAATTTATGGTGGAAATTGTTTTATTTATGTAAAGGGAAACACAAAATTCAGGTGGCCGGTGACATTTCAAAATATAAAACTATAACAGAATATAATGCAGCTCTCAGGCATGCTGTGCTGCTTTCAGATTCAGTTTTCGACACACGCGTGCAGATGTGATTTAGTCTTTTCTCATCTTTGTGTCTTTTGTTCGGGGAAGTAACATCTTTGAAAGTGCACTGTTTTACGTCAAAGATAAATTATTTCATTTTGATTTAGTTATAAACTCCTGGACTCTAATAGCTCTTGTATTTCAGCAGGTTTTCTGCTCATGTTCAAAACTTTCTGCACATTCAGAATCTATCTGTCATATCTGTGATTTCTGACATGTTAAGAAAAAAGCTGAAATATTACGTCATCATTTCAAGAGAATTCACAATATTTTATAAGTCTACTTGCCCTATACTCTGCTGTGCATTACATTATTGTTCCACTGGTAGTATCCCCTTCAGACTGTCTGACAGACACAGAATCCCGTGGGACTGCATGTTAGATGCCTGGCAAGGAGGTGGAAAACTAAACTAACTGAAAACACTTGCGATCGGGCAGAAATCTCATCACAAATCCACATGTTAACTTAAGCACCTCTGATAAAGTGCAGCTCACAGTCGCACACAGAGAAAGGTTGGGCATCAGATTCTAGATGTTTATATGGCAGAACTCTTCCAAGTTATGTTACCACTCGGTCACACCTGTCTGGACTCAAAGCCTGAGAGCGTGTTCACTTGATGACTTTTCTGTGTTGACTTTTGCCGGCCGAGCAGGCTAACTTCCAGTTTACATATCAAAACACAGATCATGTGTTCATACCAGGGGGACATGAAGCATCAACCTCGTTATTAAAATGACAAACCTGTTGACTCGCCTGCCTCTCCGTGCTATATATATATATATGACCGAATTTGTCCATACAGAGACAAAGGACAGTTTGAAGAAGCTTCTGATCAGAGTCTGATAGTATGACAGCAATTCACACCAGTTTATAAACACTTTAATTATGTGACACATTAACATGTGAACAAACCATAATGGTATAAATGTCTGAAAAGACTGATGAAATATCTAGATACTTGAAACAGTAAATCCACTTCACACTGTTCTGTTTGACCTGTCTGCATGTGCATCTATTTTAATCAATCCGGCTCACATTTCACTTGTGCTCTATGTGCATAGCCATGCCTGAATCTGCTGCTCTGCTACTTTCACTATGCAGTCAGTGTAGACATTGTGTTAGACCAAGGGTTTTCAAAGTCTGACTCCAGTCTAAATAAAGAAATCTGCACCTCTCAACAGCCCTTTACAACCCCCATCCCTTATTATTCTTTGTCTTACTCATATTTTAGGGGTAATCAGGCACTAAGTTTTGGCTCTCCAGTTCTCATAACGCTTTCCCAAGGAGTCAGTTAGCTGTGTGCTAAAACTTTAATTTTAAAAGTTATGTTTGCAGTGTACTCTTGGATGTACAGACAACTATCACCTTAACTTTCAGTCATACAGAGCAGCAAACTGCATGATTCAAATCAAGTCATCTCTAATGAATATTGACTCATTGTGATCAGCAGCTGATTGAGTGGAGCATCCTTCTTCTTCCGGTTTTAATTTAAAAATAAATTACTGTAATTATTACTAATGACTGGTTCTGTTAATTTATCTTTGTGATTATTTTTTACTTCTATTATAATATTGCTGTTATTTTCACTATTTGTGTTATCTCTGTCATGATGTTAACACTGCTGCTGTGTCTCTTGTTGAAGTGTGTTTTCTGTTCCGCAGTATCGGTTGGAGACGTTCACTGAGTCCAGGTCAACTGAATGTGCCGAGAAACCTCATGAAGGTACACACATACATGTTTGTCCACACTGAACTTAATTTTTTAATGTTATTGCATTCTTGTAAGTTTAGTTCAGTCCAACGGGTTTCATCAGTTATGGAAAGAAAGAGAGACAGACTGAGAGTTTGATCCACTGGTGTGGATCAAACTCAAAAAAACACAGGGTCCTACACTTCCCATAATGCAGTTTTTGCATGTCTTTGATTAGACCCTCTCTGAACCCATGTCTTTCAAACTTCACACATCTAATTTGTAATGTAGGCTTTGTTGTTATAAATCTAAAGTGTCCAAACCCAAGATGAGATTACCTTGATTATCTGGATGAGTCACTATTGCAGCAGGTTTCAGGTGGATGTTGACAGCTTTTTGATTGACAGGTGTGATGTGTTGTTTTTTTGTGTGTGTGTGTGTGACTGACAGGTGAGCCGGCTGACTTCTACACCCAGCCCGCCCCCCGGCCCTGGGAGGTCCAAGCCACGGCTCCCAGCCTCTTCACCAATCACACGGAGGAGATCCGCGTGCCCTTCACCTCCTCCATCAAGGTGATTGATTAACTGGAGATGTTTGTCTAAAACTCTTTTATGGTTACCTGTTGGACAGGTCCTTGAAAAAGTTTCAGTGGTCTCTGAGGAAGTTCTTGTGATTCTTGAGGACGCCCAAGGATTCACTGAAAAGGTTTTACAGGCCTTTAAAGAGGTCCCAGGGGTCCTTATGGAAATTCCATGGGTCCTGGAACAGGTTCATATTGTCAATGAGGTGGATTAACAGGTCCTTGAAGAGCTTTCATTGGTTGTTGAGGGGTTCCAGAAGTTCTCAAATATGTTTTATGAAAAGGTTTCAAGGGTCCTTTCATGGTTTCTTTGATGGTGTCCAGGAGTCATTGAGAAAGTTCAAATGGTGCTTGGGGAGGTTGCATAGGTCACTGAAAACTTCCAAGGCTCCTTGTATAGGAACCAGAAGGCATTAGAGCTGTGCCAGACCTTTTTGAAGATCTTACAGCGGCAGAGCTTCCACGGGGTCCTTGAGGAGGTAACTGGGGTCTTTTGAGGTCTTTTCGTTCTAGCGGTCCTGTGAGTTAGCTGTTAAGATGTAGACTCTGTTCAAAACAGAAGGCAGAAGTCCTGTTGCCTCATTGCCGTAATAGATGGGTGCCTCAGAAGACATAACTTTTTGAGTTAAGGCAGTCTGTTTTGAACAGCATTTTAGGGCAACGTGTGGAGCACCAGGAGCACTACATCTTGCTTTTCCTCTGGCTGTCAGTCACTAGCCTTAGCGCCAGCTAGCTATTGAGAAGGCAAGTGGCTAACAGACGCCTCAGAAATCATACCAAACAAACCTGGGCGAAAGGCAGGGTACACCCTGGACCCGTCGCCAGTCCATCGCAGGGCCACACAACAACCACACATAGACAAACTAGTCTATGTGTTTGGAGGAAGATGGTGGGAGGAAGCCGGAGAATGAGGGGAGAACATGCAAACTCCACACAGCCGGTGCAACCGGGGGTTTGAACCCACAACCTTCTACGCTGTTCCGCCCTGGTTACAGTCACAATCTAATAAAATAGTTCAGTGATTAGTTCTCGCTAACTTTTCAGAGATTCTGATGTGGAGCATTCTGTCAGCTTCAGTCTGTGTCGGTGCAACAGGTACCGGTATTTCAATTGTGTGTGTGTGTATGTGTTTTTGCAGGAATGCAACAGCTGCCATGCCTCTGGGACAATGCAGTGTGAAAAGTGTCATGGAAATGGAAATGTAAGTCTTTCAGTCAATTAATCAATCGGTAATAATAATAAACGACATAATTGTAGTTTATACAACATTAAAGACAGGAAAAGTTTGATGTAAAAGTATAAGCTGAGGATATAGTAGATATAAAAAGTTATTTAATGTAGATTTACAATGATGTGTGTGTCTGTGTCTCTCTGTGTAGCAACCGTGCTGGGTCTGTAACGGCTCAGGGATGAGGAGTGATGAGCGCTGCACTACCTGTAATGCTACTGGCAAAACAAGGTCCTGCTGGGTGGGGAGGGGTGGTGGTGATGGGGGGGCGGAGTCCTGGTGCTCCAGGGCAGTGACCCAACCTTTTTGTCTTGTGACCCCCTTAAATCAAAGTCTGCTCATGTCCTCAGGTGACATTCCATTGTAGATTTTTCTGATTTGAATATGTTTTAGAGGCCTGAATAGGTCAAACTTAGTCCTAGTTGATTTGGTGATGATGTAACTGCTTCACAGTTAAACCCAGTTGAACACTTTTATTGTGAAGGATCAATAGTAGCATGTTGGGTTTGCATTAGCAGTAACTTCATATGTCTGAAGAGGAGTGAAAAGTAAACTGCGATGGCTGATATTAGTGTGATAAAATGAACAGTTAAAACTACAAGACGTATTGCAGAATATAAATACATTAAATGTCTATTGCTGAAAAACTATACTATAAATAGTATTAAAATGGGGTTTGATTTCATGAAAATCACAAGGATAGTTGTCCCACATTCCATTCTAATTGGGAAGTTTGTTGCATGCCATGTCCCATCTCTTTCCCAGTATTTCCTGTCAGCTCTCCACTGCTTAATAGAAAAAGGCAAAAATTCCCCCCCAAAAAAGGACCAAATGTTTCTTTTTTGCATGTTTGACCTGTTTACTACAGCTCCAGATACAGCTTTGAAATTACTCTGCAGTGATACATTCAAGAACTAAAGTCTCACAAAGATGAGTTCTGTTGTCAGAACATCAAACCTAGACAACCTGGTGATAAAAAAAATTTATAACATTATTTTAATAACATAAAAGACAACGCGACAGTAACTTAATTTGGACAGAAATATACAGCTCCCTAAAGCTGGTTTTTAATAATAGGAATCACTGAATTAGTTACCGTCTGCAAAAGAGGAAATCAAAATTTTAAATTGATCAATAGTTTGAAAAATGTTCAGCAGGAAGTTAACAGCATTCAGAGTTAATGAAGAAGAACATGAAAACTAGCGGCATGGCCCTTTAAATTACACTGCTCAGTCAGTACATGTGGATCAGATAACTGAAGAATGTGAGGCATGTGGTCACATGTCTGACTGTGTGTGTGTGTGTGTGTTTGTGTGTAGATGTACAGAGTGCGATGGACAGGGAAAGAAGAAATGTCAAACCTGTAAAGGAAAACGACAACTGCTGAGCTACATCAAACTCAAAGTGGAGTGGTAAGTACTGTTACTACAACTGTTCCAAGGGTGTTGAACAAGTTCCTGTTCATTTCAGCGGTCCTTGAGGAGGTTCTTTGGTTTCCTTTGAGGGTTTCCAAGAGTCACTGGGAAGGTTCAGATGCTTCTTGAGGAAGTTTGGGAGGGCACTGAAAATCTTTCATGGTCTTTGAGGGGTACCAAAAGGTCCTTGAGTAGCCTTAAAGAGCTTCTAGGGGTCGTTGGTGGTTTCAGAAGATGTTTCATCCTTGTAGCTGTTCCACTGGGTTCGTGAGAAGTTTTAAAAGGGGCATGGAGACCTTTTGAGGAAATTCCATCCTTGAGGAGGTTCCCTCAGTTCTTGATATTTTAGTGGTCCTGTAAGATGTTCCATTGGTCCTTAAGGTTTCTGAGATCAGGTTCAAATGGTCCCTGAGGATGTTCCAGAGTTCCATGAAGAGATTCCCTGAGATGTTAGGAATATGTTACAATGGTCCAGAGGTCCTTGAGGAAGGTCCATGGGGCAATAAAAAGCTCCAACTGAATTTCTGGGTGTAATAGAGGTTCTGGGATCCTTGATTGGTTTCCAGTGGTATTGGAGAAGTTTCAAATGGTCCTTGAGGAGGGTCCAGAAGTCTTTGAAGATGGTCCTTGAGAATGTTCTAGAGCTGTTACTGACATTAAAGATCTGATCCAGTGACTTGGGGCTGAAGAGCTGAAAGCAGCAAACACTGAACCAGTTTTCAGCAAACAATAACTTATGACATTAAAATATATTTGAAAGATGATTTAATCATGTTGAAATTCTGCTGTAATGTGGTTTCATATTACAGTGGAAACCTCTTACAATGAAAACATCTGCCTGTATCAAATATCTCTATAAGCAGATGTTTTATTATAACCAAATATTTTCTTTATTTCTCATGCAGATTACCATTTGACATTTATTGAATATAAAGTAATGAAACCGATAGCTGAATTTAATTGACTGTTTCAAATACAGTACAACTTTTTCAAATGCTTTTCAGATTACTGTACAAATTAAATTACTATACTGTGTATTGTTCAAATACGCTACACAGTAATACAGTAATGTACGTACAATTTAGCTTACTGTAGTTCAAATTATGATTAGGCTACAGCCTTAAACATTATTGTGCTGTTAAAATTAGTAGTGCACAAAGGCCCCAGGTTGAACCCAGAACTGTACAGGGACACCCCAGGGCTGCGTACCTATGCTGTACACCCTCTTCACCTATGTATGCGAGACCAACACCAGGATTATAAAGTTTATGGATGACACCACTGTCATTGGACTGATCACTGGAGGAGAAGAGACAGCATATAGAAGAGGAGGTGGCTGGACTGTTGGCATGGTTTCAAGAAAATAACATCTCCTTAAATTTAGACAAGACCAAGGAGATGATGATGATGATTGATCCTAGAAGGAGGAGTAAGGAGCAGCACATGCCTACATACAGGTGCTGGTCATATAATTAGAATATCATCAAAAAGTTGATTTATTTCAGTAATTCCATTCAAAAAGTGAATCTTGTATAATGTATACATTCATTCCACACAGACTGATACATTTCAAGTGTTCATTCCTTTTAATTTTGGTGTTTATAACTGACAACTAATGGAAACCCCAAAATTAGTATCTCAGAAAATTAGAATATTGTGAAAAGACACCTGGTGCCACACTCTAATCAGCTAATTAACTCAAAACACCTGCAAAGGCCTTGAAATGGTCTCTCAGTCTAGTTCTGTAGACTACACAATCATGGGGAAGACTGCTGACTTGACAGCTGTCCAAAAGACGACCATTGACACCTTGCACAAGGAGGGCAAGACACAAAAGGTCATTGCTAAAGAGGCTGGCTGTTCACAGAGCTCAACTTTTAGATGATATTCTATTTATGACCAGCACCTGTACGTTGGTGAAACAGTGGTGGAGAGGGTGAGGACCTTTAAACTCCTCGGCACCCACATCTACAAGGATCTCCCCTGGTCTCACAATATCCAGCAGCTTCTGAAGAAAGCACAACAGAGACTGTACTTCTTAAAGGCTGAGGAAATTTGGCATGTCAACCAAAATCCTTCTGCAGATGCACAGTTGAAAGCATGATCACCAACTCAATCGTGACGCTTTGGTGGTAGAAAGATGATCCAGCGTGATGTAAATTAAAGTTAGTACAAATGCATGTACTATACATGGTTTCACAACATGAATTTTGTGTTTAGGACTAACCATGTGGAGGACCAGCTGGTGGAGCAGAAATCTGGTCTGAAGGCCAATGATCTTCACTCAGTTAGCGGGAAGGAGCTGTTTAAGAACAGCCAGTATCTGGTACACAAACACACAAAACTGCACTAATTAAATATACCCTCAGGGTTTTCCCTAGAAAATTAGGCAGGCTTCATCTTGTAAATACAGCATATTACTTAAACAATCCCCTCATTATTACACAAGTTTTGCAGTGTGATGTAGTTCCTTTGCTTGTTTTCCCTGAATCTGCCCCTTTTTATATTTCACAAAGATAATTTCTTCCAGTGTTGGTGGAGGAACTCTTTATTTCAGGCGCGGTGGGTACTCTCCACTATAATATGCTGCAGTGTTTGGAAGTTGAGACAAAAACAAAACATACAGTGCAGTATTCAGTAAATCACCTCAAACTGGTGTTTTGGAGCTAAAAATGTAAAGTTTGTTCAGGTGGCACTAGAGAAAAGATCATGTGGTAATTAAAGGACTTTGCTAATGTAAGCTGTTTTATTGTCAGTACTGTGTGTAAGTCTCTGTGTATGTCTCTTCTTAGGTCTATCCGCTGCTCGGGTTCCCAAACCCGGGCATCTCTGCGGCCTCTGAGCGTCTGGTCAAAGAGCACCAAGGCAAATATGCCCAGTCCTCCAGGATCCTGCAGCAGGTAGGTCCGCAGATAGGTGTATGACCAACAGATCAAAACAAAGATGAAAAGACATCAGTATAGGTCATTCATTTATTTAATGTAGCCTAAGTAATATGATGTGCCTCATGTCATGGGACAGCTGTAAAATGGGCAAATCAAAGTGAGTGAGTCAAAATCTCTTGTCACCCAGTAAAGACGAGCTGTGTGCAAATTCCTGAATGCTGTGAGTGGCACAGTAAGTTTGAAAACGATAATGTCTATGTGCGTGAGCAATGTCAGGCCTTAATGTTATAAATACGTGTATGTGTAGGTCTGCATAGTGTCCATAAATGTGTTCAGTAACATTTTCCACAGGGGTTATTTACGTGATCGGTTAGTGACAGTGAAACATATCAATTTGGTAAACAAAACCAGCTCTCATCTGATTTAGTAAACTGTTAGGCAGTTACATTGAGGAAAATAAGTATTTGAACACCCTACTATTTTGCAAGTTCTCCCACTTAGAAATCATGGAGGGGTCTGAAATGTCATCGTAGGTGCATGTCCACTGTGACAGACAAAAAATCCAGAAATCACAATGTATGATTCTTTATTTTAACTATTTATTTGTATGATACAGCTGCAAATAAGTATTTGAACACCTGTCTATCAGCTAGAATTCTGACTCTCAAAGACCTGTTAGTCTGCCTTCAAAATGTCCACCTCCACTTCATTTATTATCCTAAATTAGATGCACCTGTTTGAGGTCGTTAGCTGCATAAAGACACCTGTCCACCCCGTACAATCAGTAAGAATCCAACTACTAACATGGCCAAGACCAAAGAGCTGTCCAAAGACACTAGAGACAAAATTGTACACCTCCACAAGGCTGGAAAGGGCTACGGGGAAATTGCCAAGCAGCTTGGTGAAAAAAGGTCCACTGTTGGAACAATCATAACCAAGGAGTGGCTCTGTAAGAAGCATATCAAGGTTCTGGCGTGGCCTAGCCAGTCTCTAGACCTAAACCCAATAGAGAATCTTTGGAGGGAGCTCAAACTCCGTGTTTCTCAGCGACAGCCCAGAAACCTGACTGATCTAGAGAAGATCTGTGTGGAGGAGTGGGCCAAAATCCCTCCTGCAGTGTGTGCAAACCTGGTGGAAAACTACAGGAAACGTTTGACCTCTGTAATTGCAAACAAAGGCTACTGTACCAAATATTAACATTGATTTTCTCAGGTGTTCAAATACTTATTTGCAGCTGTATCATACAAATAAATAATCATACATTGTGATTTCTGGATTTTTTTTTATTTAGATTATGTCTCTCACAGTGGACATGCACCTACGATGACAATTTCAGACCCCTCCATGATTTCTAAGTGGGAGAACTTGCAAAATAGCAGGGTGGTCAAATACTTATTTAACTCACTGCAGGCAGAGGACTGCCGCAGATATAAACTGAGTTAATGAGCACTTTGTTTCCATGGCATCCAGTATGCCAAATTCTATTAACTTATCCTCCGGTCATTACCAGTTTGAGACTAATTTACAAAGAACGGTTATGACTGCAGCTGCTATTAAGTTGCTTATTAGTTATTCTAATAATAACAAAAGTAAATTGATAATAAAGTAAATTAAAAATTCAGTAGTAAACTGTAAGTCAATGTCATTGCAGTGTCAGTCAAAATGTAAGAAGTGAAAGCAGTTGAAATGTCAGATGACGTACTGTGTAAGCACTGAAAACAGGGAAATCATTAGTTGAACTGTAACCAGGGTGTGAACTACGGGGCAGCCACGAGGAGCTTTGCTCCCCTTAATAAGACATTAGCTCTCCTAAAAGCATGATTTGTGACATTTTGGGGGGTCTCTAAAATATGTACAGCATTCTTTGCCATTCATTTCTATATCATCATGAATCCATGCGTAAAATCAGCGTCGGACTTCATCCAACCAGATTCAATTCAGTTAAATTTTATTTATATAGCACCAAATCACAATAACAGTTATCTCACAGCGCTTTTCATAAAAGAGCAGGTCTAGACCGTACTCTATGATGTTATTTACAGAAGCCCAACAATTCCCACCAAGAGCAAGCACTAGGCGACAGAGGCAAGGAAACATCCTTTTAAGAGGCAGAAACCTCGAGCAGAACCATGGCTCAGGGTGGGCGGCCATGTGCCTCAACCGATTGGGGTGAAGGAGAGAGAGAGAGGGAGAGGGCAAGAGAGGAACAGAGAGAAAAAGAGAGGGATGGAAGGAGAGAGAGGGGAGGGAGGCAGCCTACACAATATACACACAGAGGTACAGACAGTTAAGGTGATGTTGCTATAGACTAAATGGAAAAATGGTACAGATATTTATAGTAGTGTTAATGATGATAATCGTAATGTTAATGATTATAATAACAATAGGACTAGTAACAATAGTTGTTGTAGCAGAGGGTGTCGAGCAGGAACACGGGGGCAGCAGGTGACCCGCAGCCACAGATCCAGACTCCACAGCTCCAGAGCCAGAAAACCTGCAGGAAGAGATAGGAGGAGAGGGACGAGAAAGCACAAGACTACCGGAAAGGGAAGAAGTCGAGTTAGTAACATGCAATAATGGGATGAGGTTGCATACAGAGGGAGAGAAAGTAGAGGAGAGGGGAGCTCAGTGCATCATAGGAAATCCCCTGGCAGTCTAGGCCTATAGCAGCATAACTAAGGGATGGTTCAGGACTCACCTGAGCCAGCTCTAACTATAAGCTTTATCAAAGAGGAAAGTCTTGATGATGATGGAACGATCAATGACCGTCCGCAGCGGGCCGGTCGCTCCGCAATCTCCTGTCCCTGTACGCTCCACCGCCCCATTCCCTCTCCAGGATGGGCTGTGTTGCTAGCACGATCGACATACTGTGAACGGTTCGTGATCGTTCCTTCTGGCTGGATGAATATTACGCATGATCCATTCACTACTGCAGCTGGTGGCTGTTGTGTGAAGTGTAATTGTAGCAAAATGGCTACATATGGCTGAAGCCTGTGCTTTGCTGAACTTTCAACAGTAAAGCGAGCTATTTCCCCCTGCCTCCAGTCTTTATAATAAGCATGTCCTGACTCCAGCTACTGAACTCAGACATGAGATTGATATCCATATGAACACATCACTGTCAGGAAAAAAAGAGAATAAGTTTATTTCACAAAATGTTGAACTTTAACATTTCTCTCTCTCTCTCACAGAGGCAGACAGTCGAGTTGATCCCCATCACTAAGGTGAACTATAAGTGGAAAGGCAACTCTCACGTCTACTTCGTTTACGGCAACGAGCGCCGAGTCAATGCCGACGATTACCCAGCAACCTGCTGCTGTGTCATCATGTAAACACACACAATTCCGACTGAACAACTTTTAACCGATAACTGTATACATACCAGTATGTGCCATTTAACGTCCTCAGTAGTGCATGGAAACCTCATGTCAAAAATATTGCTGTTCAGATGTCCTCCTGAAATCTGGCATCACGTTTAGTTTAATGAAATCTGTGAAAGACAGGAAAATATCAAATTGTCCCATCTAATTGACAAGTTAAGTTAGTCAAACATAATGATAAAATTGAGATATAAGATCTATTTGACAAGAAAAACACTTTCCCCACAGATGAATCCACTGATCGCAGTGATTCTATTTAAATTAACTGACTTTGTAATTCTAGTATGACAGGGGCCTTTAGTCTTTTCTTTTTGTTTAACAGTTTAATAAATACCTCATGTTTTTATTACTGTGATGGCCTTAATTTTCCGGATATAAACATATCTCACAGTTGTCTAATCAAGCAAGTTAAAGGTAAATAATCTACCTGTTTGTGACATTCAGCTGTAGAATGACAACAAACCTCACAAAAGCATTAAAACAGTATCATACCTCAATTTTTTTTCATCATGTCCTTATAACATTATATACAGTAAATGTAATTTTTATTTTTTATTTTTTTTCTGTCTCCTATTTCTTGACATGTAAGTCCACTAAAGCCCTTTTCACTTCTTCTCTGTTGCTGTGACTCTCAGCCAATCAGCTATAAGTAAGGAATAATTGCTGTTGTGGTCTGGAGAGTAAAAGAACTGACTTCTGCAGTAGCTAGGAACTGATGTCCGGTGAAAACATTTAATTTCAAATGTAATTCAAAAAGCTTTTAGCCTTATCAAAAGTCTAACAGCGTTAGCATTAGAACTTTAAAAGTAGGTTACAGCCTTATTAATCTGGTCAAAGTCACACAGAGAAATGTGGAGTCATAGATCTGATTTGACTTAGTTTTTGGGGTTTTTTTTCTGTTTTGTTGATCATCTGTGAGTCAGACTCCTGAAGCTGCTGGTTTTTCAGACAGAACAACAGCTAACAGGACAGAGCTAACAAAGACACCTGAAACAACAACAATGCAGCATAAAACCAGGCTAGGGCTGTTTCCAGACCAAGTCTGAGACCAAGTATTTAAATATTTGTTGCATCATAACATTGTGTGATGGAAAAAAACTTCTGTCGGCCATTTTCACATAAAGGTTTTGCTAAAAAGATGGATTTTTATTAGTTTAATTTTACATTAATGGAAACATACCTGGTGTTGTGTTTATGGGTGTTTGGCTGTGCTGCTGGCATCAGCAGTTCACGTCCCTTTAAACTGCCGTCCTGTGGTACAGCAGAGCTCCTGTAGAGGTTGGACTGTGTGTTAAATGTTAAACAGACTCTGCTGCCACCTGCTTTCAGTACAAACCGTTTAATCCATGTTACTTATTGTTTATCTTCAGGGGTTGATTATTCCATTTGTTCTATTTTTTTTTTCTATTCTCTGTGTAACACTTATTAGCAGTGGACTGTTTATTAGTATACCATGTATTCTCTCAAACTAAAGTGGTGCTGCAATGTAAATGCCTTTAAACAATACAGTGACTAACAAACACCTCTGCTACTAACCTGATGGATGTGATGATATTACTACTCTGTTAGTACTTAGTGATATTCTGTTACAGTAGGTTAGATTGCATGTTAATCGTATGTTACTGTGAAAATAAACTCTGAAACTCACCTGCTTCTCTCACTTCTGTTTTACAACCACACATGAAACATTCACTGTATGGAGCCCTGAAATTGACCAAATGTAGTAAAAGGTTATTGCACAAGTCTAAAGAATGCATTAATACAGCTGTTAGTTGAAGTGGAAAATTCAGAATTAAATTGCTTTTTATTTATGTGTGTGTGTGTGTGTATGTATGTATGTATGTATGTATATATATATAAATATTTTATATACGTACTTTATCTGACATACTATGTTGTGCATATTGGTGAGGGAGATACATTGTGGCCATAGAAACATGCAGACTGTGGTTTGAACATATGTAAACAACAAAAAATAAGATATGGAGAGATCAGGACAGGAGTTTGAAATGCTCGTGAGTGACACAAAAATAAGAGAGGTCACCTGATATGAACTTTCTCATTTGGAGATTTAAGGAACACATTTCCTCTATCAGCAGAGTGAATGAGGAAGTGCATGCTCCAGTAAGATATCCCTTCATTTAAATTTGTATATTCACTGTTCCTGTACCAAAGCCACGTAGTTTGCACTTCTGTGTTTGGGCAGGCGGTCCCAGAACAGCCACACGGCCAAACAAAATTACAACTACAAGCAAATATAGTATTTTATAAAGTTGTCCTGACTTAACTATAGAAACCATACTCAAAGCCAACATGCATAAATTATTTTTTTAAAATTAAGAGACCTGATATTAAAGGGACCTGAGGACAGTCAGACCTGATCCAGAATGTGGTGGAACAGCAGCATGACGCTCCACCAATTAATGAGCAGACCTGTAAACTACTTCAAAAGTGTTATGATTCAGTATGCTCAATATGAAACTTACACACAGTAGAACACTACTTTTAAATGTAGTATATTTATTTAAATATAAATGTAAAACAAATACAGTGATAAAGTATTCAATAGTAAATATACACTATATACACTTGTACATAAAAATTTAGGGTGAGTAGAGTCCAGTGGTCCAGCAGAAGCAGAAGTTGTTGCCTCCTACAGATGACCCTGGGTACTGCAATGGATATTCTTACAACTCATGAGAGGCAATGTCGCTACCGCCGCCTGCAGGTGTAGCTAATAAACTGCTCTCACATTTACAGATCTCTGTGGTACAGAGTGGACAAAATGTCACAAATGCGTAAAAAAGAAAGTCACAAATGTAACGTGACCTGCAAATTGACAGGAAATATGCAAATACTGTTTTGTGTGTAGAAGTCACTCTGTATTTTTGTAGATATGATTTTACACATCACAAATGTAAAAATACATATTTGTAGATATATTGCCTAGCGGTTAGCGGGGTCAGGCACGCCCTCAAACCAAGCTAGTCTGAGCGGAGGCCCTTTGCCTCGACTCGCCTTTGTTTGGGTTTCCATTGTAGAAATGTTGCAGCTGTACTAGTGATGGCAAGTTCGAGTCTTTTGACAGACTCGTTCATTCAAATCTCGTTCATAAAAATGAACTAATCTTTTTTTGACTCATTTCGTTCATTTGAACTAGGCTGTTATTGTGGCGCTGCAGCCCTCTAGTGGGCGATTGAAAAACAGCGCCGTTCTCAAACATGGAAGGCTGCCTGGCTTGCTTTATTTGACAAAGTATAATGCACAAATTCACCTCTTGATTACTGTATGTCATCATTATATAAACCCCCCTGGGCCCACAACCAAATTCAAACCATGTAAAAACCACAGAAATATGTTGTCAATATGTTGTCACTACTCCGGGTAAATCCTTCCATTTTCACAATCTTTCCTGAGTAGTATACAACCAGACCAGCCACATAAAGGCTTATGTATATAATTACAATCATTATCTCTAAAGTGCTCATTCATACAGCAGCCTAACGTCCCTATCCATGAGTAAAATATTAATATCAGATTTCCAGTAAATATATTGAAGTAATAAGCTTAATACACTATATGAAGAAACACACTTATTAAAATTCAACCAATTTAATAATAATCTGGATCAAGCAACCAAGTTGTTAAAGAACTCCAGCACAGAGAGAGGAACAAAGAAATAAACACATATACACGCAGCAGTTTGGTACTTCTGGACGCAGAATGGGCCACATCAGGTCCGGATTCTGCAGACAGAGGTTGTTCACCAGTCACGAGCTGTGAAACAACAGCACGGCCCTGTTGGTAAATAAAAAGGAAAAGTTACGTTGCGTTCTCTGGTGGACCAGATCAGCTGTTAGCTGTTTACAGGGCTAACCCTAACGTTGCTACGTGGCTGTGTTTTAATGTTTTAATGACCGGGTCTGTTTGTTTTAGAGAGGAGACGACCTCGGAGGCTCCCGGTAGAACCCTGTCAGGGCTCTGAAGTGGAGCGGACCCAGAACAACTCTCATCAGCTGTTAGCTGTAATGTTAAACACTAGCAGGACTAAAGTTACGGTAAGGCTGTGTTAAAACTATAACTTAGCACAACATCACTGCGCTGTAATAACGTTATGCTTTATAAAATGTCACATAATTAACAAAATAGCTATATAATGTCAGTCCAGTTACCTGACAGCCGACCTGCCTCTCATTCTCCGGCGCTGGCAGTCACTCAGCCTGCCGAGTGAACGAAATACTGAGGAGGACCCATGTGAGAGGTGAACGAGTCGTTCATTTCTGCTCCACAGTAGCTGTCACGTGACAAATGAACGACTCAGACCCAGAGACCCACATTTGAGAGTTGTGAACTAATCAGTTCTGTTTCCTGTGCTGCCTGCTTACCACAGCCCTGTAGATGAGCTGTCACGTGATAAATGAACGACTCAAACAGACCCACAGTTGAGAGTGAAAATAAACGAATCACTCACTGAGACAACCCGTTCCTCCTGAGTCATACACACGATTAGGTCTTCTGAACGAAACATTCTTTGAACGACACAACACTAAGCTGTACCTGCTTCCGGGTACTTTTTTTCGTATCACCTCCATCGAGGTTTCAAGCGAGCTGAGGGAAACTAAACTGTAACGTGAAAACACGACAGACTGATGACTGGTCGGAGAGATTATTCACTATTCACTGCATCATCATTGCTGCACCAGACAAGAGGCCAGCAACAGAAAGTTTTATATTTTACAGTTTTCGTATGGAATTTCATCAGTAAATCCACTTCTGAGAAGTTTTGAGGTGAGAAATCAGCTGTGTAGATTTCGAATATTGACAGTTTTACGAGAAGTGATGGTGGAACAAAAATGTGCTTGAATATTGTCGGAGTTGAGGAGATCCGCGAGTGGCTGCGGGGGGAAGCCTGTACCAACCCAAGGGAGGAGCGTGTGAGGCCGGCCAGCTGCCCGCTCACAGAACCCTCTACTCCCGCCATCACACAGACCGCTGCAGCAACAACGGCAACACAGCTGGAAGGTTTTCATACCGCTTATCTGTCTTGACATTCTGCGGAATGCTGAAAGATTTTAACTTCAAAAAGAGAAAGCTGTGTGGATCTCTGGTGTGTGTGTCGCATTGAACAGTACGTCGCGGCAGTTGTGTGTGGCGTCGCTATGACGACCAGCTACGTACTATCTCTGGGTACTACCTGCAATGGAAAATGGAGCAGGGCCGAGTAGAGTCGAGTAGAGTCGATTAGAGTCGATTAGAGTCGAGTATGTATGATGCTTTGGCAATATTGTTATTACACATTCATGCCAATAAAGCTAATTTGAATTGAATTGAATTGAGTCGAGTCGATCGATTTGCGCTATGGTAGCATTTTTCAGCAAGGCAGCATAGATCGTCAGAACACCGGCAACAGTTCAACGTTTAGTCCTGATGGAAAGATGTGGAACAATGATGTTGTGGACTTGTGAGTAACTTACACCATCTGCTAGGTTACTGTCGCAGTCTGAAGCGGCGAGTCGTAAGAAACTACCTTGTTTCTTACGACTCGCCCTTCTCTGCTTCTGATTGGCTAGTAGTCCTTACCTGGGAACTGCGCATGTGCAATTCCCAACAAAGATTTTGTACAAGTAAGATGCATCACTCTGTAGCTCAAGAGCGGAGCGTACAACACACAGGGTGAAAAGAGGAGCTGCAGCAATGTGCAGTATGAGAAAAATATGGTGTTTTTTGAAAATTAAACCATGTAAACCTGTTCTGGTACAACCCCTAAATAAGATTTTGAACCTGAAAATTAGCATAATTACAACAAAAAAACATTAGATTGCCAGGAAACTTATCCTGAACCCAGTCCTCACCCTAAAATGTAACACTCAACAACTGCACTCAAAACCCCGCACACGAGTAAAAAAAAACACTTCCACTCCCTAACCACCCCCTTCCCTCCTCCTCCGGCGGTGGGCAGGGTCTCTCGGCTCTGCATCATCATGCCCTCAACCCTTCAGTTTCACAAAGAAGAAAAACCATCCGGCCGCTGCTGCTTCATGTGAGTCCTCCTCAGTTTGTTCTGAACGGAACTTTTGTCCCTTTTAACCGGCTGTTTACCGGATCAGTGTGTGTGTGTGTGTGTGTGTGTGTGTGTGTGTGTGTGTGTCTGTCTGTGTGTCTGTGCGTGTGAGTGTGTCTGTGTGCGTGTGAGTGTGCTGTAGCGTGGTGGAAACTAGAAGCTGGAAACTTCGGAAAGTTGCCACCAAACTTCATGCAGTTTTCTGCCTATTTTGATGCGGGTTGTTCTCAGGCTGCTTCACTGTTGTTGGTTGTTATTGGTTGTTGTTTCGTGTGTCGGTGTGTGTCTGTGTGTGTGAGACCGATCAGAAAAAGACTTGGTGGAGGAGGAGGTGGGCCGAGGGGTTATAACTACAAACTGTCTTAAAACTTTCAGTCTTTAGGCTACTTTCTTCAACAACTTGATGATGAAATTATATTTCTGTAATACTCTTATAGTATTTCTCTAGTTTTTCTCATAGTTCCAGTGGACTCTCACCTATAGGTTAGTATTTCTGTGATATTTTTAAGGTAAAACCTCTCCACATAGCCTAACTACTGCATAGTGCTCCTGTATTACTTCTATTGTGTGTCTTTGGGTCTAGTCT